AAACGATTCACGAGCATTTAAACCGACCGCGTCGCGATCGAAAACAACTTGACGGAGTTCCGACCGGATAAAGGTGCGTTCGAAACAGGCCGAGAGCAGAGGCCGAGAGACGCTCGGAATATAAATGGCCACAGTAAAAGTTCGCGCGGCTTAATTAATTGCGTTCGGCTTAGCGGCGAGTGCCTCGTTGCGATTACGTTTAGCCCGCTCGGATTCGGCTTACATGTGCACCAAGCCTTACCATGAGCTCGAAATCGCAAACTCGCTACTCGGTAAGACTAGAAACACCCTAATAAAATACACACGTTTTAAGCAAAAGGACTTTGCATCCAACACATCATGTTAAAGTGTATATACACATCACCTATATCGTGTGACTGTTAATGAGTTCTTGTTTAATAGTTATTTTATTTTGCCTAAAGATCTAGGTTGCTGCAACGTTACCAAAGATGACGCGTCGGGTAGAGCGAAGTAGAAATGCAAGACCACAAAAGAAAGAAAGCAAAATCCACCACAAGATGGGAATGATCATTGCACAGGAGAGTGAGAGAGAGGAAGAGAGTTATTTTACCTAGCCGCTTGTAGATGCTTGGACCTCCATATATTCTTCAGATGCTGTAAACCGTCGAGTAGATCTTCGTATACCTCACGCGATGCTCATCGTTAATGCTCAACGCTTTCACCTAATCCGTATTTCGTAAGGCCGCAGTACTTGTCTGGTCTAATCTTTCACCAGGAACTGCTATTTAAGCTGTTCTTTTACCACAGTGAAGTGAGGAGACGGTTCGCCTGTAATAACGTCAATGGAGCGTTGGGCCACGCAGAAGCTTCTGTGGTTGCATAAATGAGCAAGCTCGTCTGGTGAAGTAACACGGCCTTACAGAAGGTCGACGTGAAACAGAAGTATACTTTCGCGTTTCTTATGATGGAAGCGGAACCAGGGTCAAAGATTGGCAACACATGTGCAACCCATCACTTATTCTAGATCACCATGGGTGGCGGTACTTGACATCAGGTGAACCACCTGCTCGCATGCCAACTTTTCACATATACAAAAGTCACAAAGGCATTGACAGCATAAAAGCTAAGCCTCTGATAACACCACTCGCCTGATAAAATGCATACGAATACAAGAAAATGTGGAATAATAAATTGTGGAGTATACACCAGTAACAAAATTATGCAAGAGTAAATAAAAAAACATAAATATCAAAATTTTCCACTTAGACTGAACGAAGCGACCATTTTTTCTCGTAAACGCGAGAATTACAAAAAGAAACATGAAAACACACAAATTTCACACACATCACGCTGCGTCACACACCTGATGCCGCGCACAAAGACCAAAAAATTAAACAACGCCCTTTGTGTGCGAAAAACGGGCTAAATTGGGGAAATTTCCATCCGTTCCCGCAGCCAGCCGTCATCCTTGCTAAACCCCGCTTCAATTTCAATAGCGCCCCCCCCCCCCCCCTTACTCCCTACACCCTTTAGGACGCCCCGGACTCCATCCCTTTCCGTCGGCCGCTTATCCCGGGATGGGGCGGGGGTTGCCGACAGGGCCGGTCCGAAACTTAGACGTATATTATTGTATTATACGGTCGTAGGTGGCGCGGGGGAAGATTGATGCCGTGCCACGGAGCGGGCGTAGTTTTTGACAGCCCTGCGTCTACGTAACGAAAGTGCCTCGCGGCGATGTGTGCGTGACACCGAGTGTAGTTTTTGGCAGCCCTGTGAGGAAACGCACCGTGATCGTGTGTGCGTTACACCTCGTGTTTCACGACGGAAATTGGGCCGCGGTATTAATTTTCGAGTTTCCTACGCGGGGCGGTTTTTTCTTTGCCTTCATCGTATAGGTATCTGTGAGGCTTCCTGTCGAATTGGAGACCACTAAGGTTTCGAAGCAATTATCCAGTTTTTAGAATGAAATTATACCTCGGACGAGTATGGTACTTTCGAAAAAAAAAATTTCTGAAGTGTTTACCCATTACATACTCGTGTTTTTCGAATGTTCACAAGAGGCTGTAATTATTATTGTACATAATACCTTTAATTATAAACTTCTACCCTTCGATCAACGATACCAATGTTTTGATGTAAAATTTCTTTAAGCCTCGTAAGAATAATTAAAGTCTAAATATTTTAACAGTTTGGCTCTATTATTGTTTTTATAAACTACAGCACGTAAAAAAATTAACAAATGAAACCGCAACACGGTGCCATTATTTAAAACAATTCACTTCAAACTTCGCAAACTGGCAGCATCAGCGAAGTTTTATAAAAAAAAGAAAAAAAAAGGAAATAATTGTAAGTTCAAAGTCGGGGAGCTCCATTGTGCTAATTACGCGGCCACGGCAGACGGCGTGCTTTCACTCTCGCCGCCGCTCGTTTTAATTATTTTTTCAGCGTCTCGGCGTCTGGCGGGAAACTGGGAAAAATCTAAGTCAGACGAAAAGGAGATGTGCAATAGACTTAATTATATATTTATAACTATTATTATCTAAAATAAAATAGATATCGATAAATACTATTCGCTTAAAAGTGTCCGGAACCGAAAAATAGAAATGTAATTAGAAGGTAATTAAATTTTGTATTCGAAATAGCTTATGTTTTCCGAATGATGCAGTTTTTACCTAATATTCTTTAATTTATTACTTTTCTGTTGAAAGGGTAAGAAGTTTAAGGTGTTTCCATAAATAAAAATATCAGTAAATATTTAAACATTTTCTCGTGGCGTATCCATGACTTTCCAGCGTACGCTTTCAGCGAAGTTCGCGCTCCGCTCAATCTTTGATACTTTCTTCGTGCATTTTTTAGGTCTTCTTATTAATGAAAAGTAGGTTACTAACTTGCTTCGTTTTAAGAATGAAAGTTACGGCCACGTTGCCGTAGGTCTATGAACTCTCAGCTGTCTTTTGTTTTTGTTGACATCTTCGCACCGGGATTTTTCGGGCCTGATTTCTTTTGCATAAATTTGCGTAAATCATCTCTAGGACGAGCGTTAGAGATTAAGAACAAATATGTCTGATCTCGATTTATTGATCTGTTTTCTTACTATTTTTATCAATTTAGTTTTTTTTAATGTGCAGTGCATAGTGAACCTATCTTTTGCGACTGAGGGTGTGTGTTCCATCCCCACAACTAGCAAAATACTGTGTGATGAACGTAGTATTTTTTCCAGTTTATGTGTTTATATATCTATGACGTGTATTTTTTTTATATAAAAAGTATGTTTAACTGTGTTTATCAGCTATCTAGTGCCAATAATGCCTAAACTTGGGACCGAAGAATAATGAGTAATTTCGTTATATTCGGTTATTATTCGGAATTAGGCTTATTCGGCGACTTTTAACATATTTGGCCAAATACCGAATACTTAAAATAGGCTTTTTATTGTACACAATTAATAAATAAAATGCAAATGAGTTCATTTATTTACCATAATGTATTTTTTTTCTTATAACCATTAATATGTATCTCGTAGCGTATTCTGTATCTGCGCGGAGAATGGCTAATTCTGTATTATTGCATTGGTTATATAACGATTTTAGATCTTGTTTAGGGAGATTTAATTCGGCACTGAACTGCGACGCAACATAAGCGATTCATATAATATTATCATTGCGATTAACCACCTACATCTTGCTGACAATGAAACTATAGTAAGCATTGACATACAGTCATTATTTACATGTTAATCTATGAATACTTTATCACAACAGTTACTAGGAAGCTTAAAGAGAACAAAATACCTGTAGCATACACATTAGTGCTTCAACATTGCCACACATCTGGCTACCTAATGTGGAAGGAAGAATTCTACATACTATAGTAATGTAGCAATGAGTTTCCCAATATCTCCCATTACTACAAACATAGTTATGGAAGACTTGCGGAGAAGGCCCTACAAACGACCTCTGTTCATCCAAGACTACAAATGTAATGATGATACTTTCACAACTTTAACCTTAATTATTTTACACCTTATTCCTTCGCAACCATAAATAAAATTCACTATGGAATTGGAGGCATGTAATTCCGTAGGCTTTCTAGATGTATTATTATTCGCAATCTTAACCTTTAGCCATACTGTGTTCAGAAAATAGGATTCGTACAAGTAAATATTTAAATGGTGATTCTTATCACCATCCTTCGCAGTTAGCTACTGCAATGTAGGAAGGTTCATCCGGTCAAATTTAAGTGCTATGTCTAATTATTTGTATACTGTTGACTAATTATTGTAAGCTTCTGACCAATTGTATGTATTTCGCAACATTCCAGTATCTTTGCTTGATGTAGCAAAATTGTTATTTTGAGGTGCTAATCACATAAGGATAACTTAGATTCTTGTTAGTTTTTCTTGCCGACATGGACCAATTATCGAATTTAATTGACCAATTTGTAACCAATTGAAATAATTTAAGATCCGATCTTTAGGATTAATTTGAGCCGCAAAAATAATTTCGATATCCTTGGAATTTTAAATTCTCTGTATTTAGTGACAAAATATTGACTAATCACTGACTATTTCAAGACCAATACGGACCATTTTTAAGAACTCAATTTTGATAATTAGAGCCGCTTATTAGATGGGGCCTTTGAAACGTGCTAAATTTAAGACACTTTTCAAACCACCTAAGATCAATCACTCAAGGAGAGTTCAATCAAATTAAAACGAGATACAATCGGTAAAATAATTTAATTCAACAACAAATGTTCCGTAAAAGCAGTAAGTCGATATTGCAAAATTTCCGAGAAAATAACAAAATTTCAAAAAATAATTTGTCATTGTCACATACCAAGGCGCGGTAATAGAAAGGTAAAACAAACGCATTGCATTTAAAACATCAATTAATCTAAAAATTATTATGCGCTATTTAAAGGTTTAAAAATGGAATGCGTTTACAAAACATCCAAAAACCACAGGCGGCAGTAACATCATTAAGTGCATATTAAAAATAATCCCTTTATGTCACAACGCGTTCGCCAGCGGAGAGGACATGGGATTACCTGGATCGGAGCCTATAAAAAATCCAAACAAACACCACACTCAATGGTACCCTCGATCGATTAACTGGACTGAGATTTAGTAACGAATGCGACGAAAAAAATTGCAATTAATACAATGTTTATGTTACATATCGCGTGTACTTATTAATAATTTACAAAATGCAATCAGCGGTACTTTCAAGAATAATTTTTTAATTTTTTTTTTAATCCAAATGCTCATTCTTTATTGATCTAATATTTACAAGATTAAATCTATCTAAAATTACATATTATCTAATAAACCTAATCCGCGCGGTAATTTTTTATTATTATAAAAGTAATAATAACAGAAACAGCTACAGCCAAACGGATAATATTTTTGAGGAAGGATAATTCAGATATTTAAAAGGGTATTGCATATCCATAGTGTTGATTTATTTACAAAAAGGAAAAGGTCTTCATTAGCACTATGTTGACTTATTTTGAGACTTTTTGTGTAAATATATGTCCCTCCACTTAGTTACTGGACGTTTATATTTATCAAGAATATTCTGTTATAACGACTTTAAGTATGTTAATTCATATCTTTCGAGATTGTTTTCACTAATAATATAATTAAATTAAATTTAATATATGTTTTGGATTAATAGATTTAAGCATGAATTAATGGTTAGCATTTAAAACGAAGCCATTGATACAGAATGAACGCCGAAATTGTATCCAATATATCCATGCAAGTAATAACCTAGTGCTCGAATCAGAAGTGGCGAATCAAGGTTTTGAAACTCAACTATCCCGAACGAACTTATTAATACGAACTGATAGTGAGAGCATCGCTCATATAAACATAAAGACGGCTAGTACGGCTAGTTCGCGCTCTGGTTTTAAAAAAATTACAACGTTTATCATCTACCCATGCCAACCGTCATGCGTGCCCCATGAATTCTCATACACGGGAAGTGCCTTTGTGACTTGGCATGCCTCTGGCGACGCGTCGATTAAATCTTCCTGAGAATGCATGCATAATAATCATCTCGAATAAGTCTCCAATACATTTGGGCTCGGATTTCGCGCGCCCTCAAAAAACCCTTCGAACCCACCCTTACGCTACCTGAGGGTGACATTTTTTATTCGCACTTCCGTCAATGGCGCGTATGCAAAAGGACCGCGCAAGAATCGCTCTTTGATGACGCAACGGAAATAATAATTATATGCATAATAGAACGGATTAAAGGTTACGAGGTTCTCTGTTCGCGACACATATTTTTTTTACACCCATTCCTGTCACCTTGTCTCATCAGATGTTTGGCGGGACGTTTTATCGGAATCGATTGTGGGGGCTATTAGGGACTTAATAACGCGCAAGCTGTAGTACGCCTTTGATTCGTTACATTTGCATTGAAAAAAAAAAACAACTTCTATTTTTTTTTCTCGATTTATGCGCATACTGATGCGAATGTTAACCCCCGTAGGTGTGGATGCGGCACGTTGCGAATGCTAACAATGAGCACTCGAGGTCCGAAATCGGCGCGCACAATGCAATCTGGCCGGCATCTCCGCGTGGAGCCCCTTGACTCCAATCAAGCAATTACTGCCCCACCGTCCACACCCCGGCCCTCGAGATATTCAAAATGGCCGAACCGCTCCAAAATCAAATCGCCCGGAGAAATCTTGTAGCCGAACCGCGTGGGTAACATTAAAAAGGTCGTAACAGCTTCTGGGCTCATATTAGTGATTATGGGCCGCAATGATCGCTTACCATCATTCAACAGTACTTCCATTTATCTTCAGAATTTATATTTCCTTAAAATATAGAAACAATTCCTTACAATTCTTACCATTTAAACCGTGAAACAGTTTATCGGTAAGTATTGACAAATTACACTTTTTTTATTATCAACAATATCTGTGAAATATGTACATATCTTAAATTATGTATTATATATTAGGTATATTAAAATGTTTTGATTTGTACGTAAACAAAAAAGGCGCGTAAACAAACCAAGCGTGCACTAATGAAATTGATAATTGCAATTTTAGATGCGGATTAACCAAGCGCTGACCGAAAACATCACGAGGAGAGTGTGCATTTCTCAGAAATAATTTATAAATATTAAATATTACCTAGCTAACTGTGGCAAGCCCACGCAAGTATTCGCTGTTGCATGAATGGGCAGGTCTGTCCGGAGAAGTACTACGACCTCATGGAAAGACTGGTAAGAAGTGGAAGTTTTATAATTCTAGGTTTTGTCTGGTGAGTGAGATAAAAAATGAGCCCACTTCATTAACAGTTGGCAACGCATCTGAAACCCTACGGGTGATGCAAATGTCCATAGGCGGCGGATATAACTTATGAGTTATCAGGTGAACCACCAGCTCGGTTGCCACCTTCTAACATGAAAAAAATATTAAATGTTAAATAATAAGTCAAAGATATGTGAAGTGCTCCAATCCTGTTAATAAACCTTTTGTTAGTCCCCATCTACTTTTGTACAGAGGAGATCTTTGCCCGGTAGTGGGTCACAAAATATGTAAATGAAGATATGCCATATCATTACCGACATAAAATGCTTTTTAACATATCGGTAAAATTATATTTGGGATCTTACTGTAGCATTAGTTTATAAAAATAATAATATTAATAAAAGTGGCACGACAAACAAAAATCCGACAAAACATTACACCCTAGACACACCGCACGTCCCGAACAACAATAGGATGCAGATTCGGAATATCTAAAGATAAATAATACATTTTGATTTATAATGCAAGTGCATAAAAAAGGCACTCTTCATTTATCGAGACTGCATAAATAGACCCTATTATTGGGTATCGGGAAGTGCAAAATATGGGTGTAGCGATTTTTTTTTCCACACCGTCTGAATACGCGACAGCGGACGGGTTGACTTACGAGGGACGCGCTTTTTTTTTTAACCAGGCGCATTCAAAATAGTTCACGGGAGCGTTTTACGCGCGCATTCAACGGTGATTTGATTTATTCCGCCGACATGCAGATGGGAGTGCTCGTTAGATTTATTCGACTTCTGTGTTTTGCATCGATATCGCGTTACGCATGATCGGTCATGTCCATTGGCAGTTAGCGTGTTTTGTGCGTGTGTCAGTTTGCCGCGTCCCGTTGGGGTGGTGCGGGGATTCGATCACGTCATAAATATCGCTGACGGCCCGCATGCGTTGGCGCCGAACAAAAGATACTGGCGCGAATATAATTAAGTTAAAAAAAAAATAAGTTCTAAAATCGAACGCCCGTTCGTCTGGTGCGCATATAAAATGCATAATTAAATGCGAAAAATATTTTTAAACATCGAATGGAAACAAAAAATTCAAACAAAGTTATTATGCTTTTGTTATTCTTCTTATATATAAAAATGGATTGCTGTTCGATGGTCTCGCTAAAACTCGTGACAGGGCGGACCGATTTGGCTAATTTTGGCTTTCAAATATTTGTGGCAGTCTAGGGACAGTTTAAACGATGAGAAATTATGGAAAAATTGCATGGATAATCGAAATAGCAACAATTTTTTTTTTCCCATACAAACTGTTCCTACCAATCAAACATTTTATGGGTGCGTTCCGAAAATTCTTTTTCTATGTCTTCAGATCCACAAATTCCATAGAAATAATTTATATTGCAAAACAACGTTTGCCGAGCCAGATAGTAATAGATGAAGTTAAGATAATTTCAAAAATCTAATGCCAATAAAATATGCTTTAATTTAGTCTTCATCTAGGGCGCATAAACGTAAATAAAAAAGTAAAATAATTTCGAAAATCGAACGCCAATAAAAAAGCTTAGCCGAAATCTTCATCTAAATCCAGCGCTGATAAAGCCTTTAATCTGCATAATAAAAAGAAGCGCCCGGAAACACAAATACGGTGATAATAGCACAATAGATGCCAGAGGCCGCGGTGCTCGCCGGAAGGGTTGCCATTGTCTGAACTCGCAACTCCAAATTAATGAGCGACTGCAAAAAATGTGGGACAATCGCGAAATAGGATCTGTTTAACGGTGCTCAAAGTGTTACAGGTAGATCAGAATACAATAAATAATAAATAAATTTTTATGACACATAGTCTAATAAAAATATTAACTATATTATGTAATTAAAATGAAATTTCTTCCGTTTATCTAAGTAATTAATGACAAAAGCACTTTCAATCTGTTTATCCCAATTATCTAAATTATAATTATCTTAATTTAACTTTTATTTGTATACATTATCACGAATGTGTGAAATTAACATTAACATGAATGTTGTTAATCACTGCACATAAGATAAAACTTAAATTGTGAAAAATTTTACTTTGCTGCCACGATATGAACTTTCACCTTCTAGGTAACACGCACAGACCCTGTTAACACAAAGTTAAGCGACCGTTTCTCGTTCGCTCGCTATATTCTCCTCAAAAATTTTCCGTTATATAATAAATTAATTCCGTTATAATAATAATTCAAGAAACTCAGGACCATCAATATTATTTTGTAATTCGTTATGCTGTTTTATATTGGTACTGAAAGTTTGAGAGCCACGTCTCAATAGTCGCTACCTACTGATCTAATTTCCATGCGCTTAGGCCGAGGTAGCGATGGGGTTAACTTTTTTACTCGCAGTTACAATGCTATTGCATTTAACGGCTCTCGTGTACAGCTCGTAGATTAGTGCGTTCCAGTTGTTTGTAACGAATAGTCGGTTTCCGGTCTATCCGCGTAACAAATGAAAAAGGTGTTCGTGGTGATATTAGCGTTTTATTAGGTCAAAATCACTCCTTTAAAATGACTGTGATCGACACCCAACAATCTGTGCTACGTGGAAGAGTACATGTGAAGTTAGAGACAATTTCATGTGAGAAAGACAATGTTAAGCATCAACCTGTGTTGAGTGAAGACATATTTACAACGTAATAATGTGATAAAACTATATGGTATATGTAGATATATATATAGGTAGTATGTGTCAAAATAAATGCAAATGTCCTTTTCCGTACGTCACGTATATATGTTTAATATGATATTACTTTTTTAATTTAAACCTAAAAACGCGTTACTTTCATGTGTAACACAAAGAAGAAAATATATCTAGGTAATGGTTTTTTATATTAAACTACTAATTTTTGCACATGGTTACAAGTACGTTGCTGGCCTTTTAGGCCGGAACCTCTTCTTGAAGGTCCCTAATTCGCATCGATCAGTTTTTCCCAACGGCGATAACCGACTGCACAAAGCGGTTGTGAGTGGCAGAGTATTATGTGAACGATAGTGGACTTCCAATCATCCAGGTGGTATTGATAGGCGCTTAGCAATATACTTTCTACAAATAACAGTCTTAGTATGATCGTTTTTGTTTAGTTATAAAAACACGAACCGCTTTATTCTGCCGTGGTGTTGTAAAACAAAAGATTTTCGATAAACCTCAGTAATGTTTTACGATTCGAAGATTATTTGCAATCACGTTTAACTGAATGTTTCTCACGTCGCGTACCAACTCCCTTAATATATAACCGCTCAGTTCCCGACGTTACAGCTGTAGGTTAGTGCTTAATAATCACTTCTACGCGCACTAAACCGACCGCGCAGAACTTTGAGTCGTTACCGAAACTGTTAAAGTGATTAAGCTCGCGCATAAAGTCCGATCATCAAATAACAAAAGCGCAACTGTTATCATTTATTTAGACTAACGTATTTGTTAAGCTTTTAGAGACTATTAGTTATTAACGACTAGCTGCTGCCCGCTACTACGTCTGCGTAGAATAGGCTGAAGGCGTAACATTCGGACAGAAAGACAGACATACATAAAATATGTATATAAATTATAGCCTATGTCTTACTCCGATATTATTGTAAAGTGCAAAAAAAATCCATTCAGTAGTATTTGCATGAAAGAGAAACAAGCATCCATACATACATACAAATTTTCGCCTTTATAATGTTAGTAAGGATAAGGATTTTTTACCAAAGCTCAGTAGTAATACTTATAGCAAGTTATTTTCTTCCTATTCGTATATTCATATATATGATCTATATGGATCCATTTACAACAAATGTTATATGTTATTCTTATATAAAATAATTGTATCAGTAAATCGGAGACTTAATGGATAGAGATAACTAGAAAAGAATGCAGAATTTAAATAACGGTGTTGCTACGAAATATTTATTGGTTATATTTCTTAGCGGTTGCAGATTAGAATCCTGGTAGGTTCCTTCTGTTTCCACGAATACTTTTTGTTTTTAAAATATTCTAATTAATTTAGAAAATTTACAAATTACTCTAAAGCATTCATACATTAGCAAATGTAGCAGTATTATTTTCGTAAATTTATGCAATCTTTATCTTCCAAGTTAGCTCAATATTTCTAATCAGTAATTCAATATATTGTAATATGTATAGTTACCAAATTATTATAGCAACGCTTATATATAGTAACTACACTGCGTTTATTACAATATTCCGGGTGTAAGTCAGTTCTTTGCTCAAACTCACCTCCTGGCTTATTCTGTTGAAACTGAACTAAAGTACTAGATTGAAAGCATCTTCCATGTCGTTTATAAATTAGTTCCTTATTTATATTTGCATACGCAAACATGGGAAAAAATAAAATTTTGTGCAAAGGAACGGCCTGGTAAAAATCTAAGTGCGACACTGTTCCGTGTGTAA